GTTTACCCCTCATTTACTGCAAAACAAACAGCACGAGCTGCTCTTTTATTAACTCTACAGCCAAAGGGGAGACCTGCTTCCTCAGCACCCGAACCTCAGCAGTTTAGCCCACTACAGGGAACTTCTGCCTTTCGTCTTCCTGCTTGTGCCTCCACAACAACTGTCTCTTCCCCTCAAACAGCACAACGGCAGCAGCGATAGCAGAGTTCAAGCTCTCCACGCCTGGCACCACGGGAATCACCAGTCTCTTCCCTCCCGTGCTGGCTGCGAGGTGAAGCGCTTCTGGACTCACACCGTGGGTCTCTCCGCCGACCCCCACTGCCACTGGAGTCTGTGTCCAGTTCTCATAGTAATGCTGCACAGCCAGCTCTGGGAGGCAGACACCCGCCGCTCCCTCCTCATCCTCACGCTCTGGAGCAGCCTCGGGTTGGGATTTCCCAGGAGCAGAGCCAGCCCTGCCCGCTCCCATCGGCACAGACGCGGTCTCAGCCTGAGTGCCTGGGTCTTTGTTATCAGCCACGCAGACCTGGACACCAGCAGGAAGGTTTCTGGGAAGAGATTCCCAGTCCAGGTTGGCGACGATGGGCAGACGGAAGTGAGCTCCCAAGGAGCACCTTTGGCTCCCACGGATCCACACAGCCTGAGGCAGGAGGGAGGAAAACAGCGACACTGCAACAGCTCCCACAAAGAGATTCAGCAGCTGCTGCCCACAGCAAATTGTGTTTGTGCTGGGACTGCTTATAAACCTTTTGGAGCAACATCTTCAAGCATTTCTTGTTCTCTACCTTGACCCCAGATTACTCAAACTAAACTTATTTTTCCCCAGGGAAAGGCTCTTACCTTTGGTGAGCAGGACTTTCTCACAGCCTGCTCCTGCTGCAGATCTCAGAATAGTCCCCAGGTTTCCCGGATCTCGGATATTGTCACAGATGAGGAGCAGTGGCAAGGAGCTGGTTAGCTGAGCGGCAGGGTAGGACATCTTGGCATGGTCAGGCTTGGAAAAGATCCCTGAGGAGACAAAGTGCTGACAGGTTTCTGACCAACACACCCACCCCAAGGAGAGGGTTGTCTCTGATTTCATTGGCCCACATTTCACTAAAGAGGTGCTGGAGAAAGCAGGAGGCTTAAGAGAAGTTTGAGAAGAGTTTGTCACTTCACAAGGAGAACTATTTCCCAGGAGAGCTGGAGCAATGTGCTATTAAAAATGAGCCTTAGCACCTTCAGTGCACTCTGGGAGCCACTTTCAATTGCCACGGCAGGCCAAAGAAAAGGGAATTCTCTCAAATTATGTCACTCTTGACACTGCCAGAATGTCTAGAGTGAGGTTATGAAGAGATAGTCATTATCAACTTCCTAAGCATGAAATAAGTTTCCCTTTCAGCAGTGCTGTGACTGTTTCTAAGGCAACTTACCTAGAAGCCCCTGAGGAGTTATGAGGTCAGACCAACTCTTAATGTCTTCAAATTTCACCTTAACTAAGTTGGCTCGTTTTAGCTCTGCCTGGGGCAGCTCCTTCAGGTGCCCCACGGTGCTGAAGAAGAGAGTCTGCAGCACAGCTCCTGCCTCCAGCGCGTCCTTGATCAGCCTCTGACCCTCCAGCAGAACCTTCCCGTGACGATCTCGAAACTTCTTTGACTTGGCGATAGTCACCACTTTTCTGCGGAGAAGTTAATCAGAGAAAAAGGCTGTGACACTAACAACACCTTCAGTCTGACATCTGCCAGCTGCTGAGAACGTCACTCCAAAGTCCCCCAGGTAGCTGTAGCTGGCGTTGCAGCATCAATCTCAACACAGAACCCCCCAAGTGTCAGAATTTGCCTCAAATTCTGCAGCCATGACACCAGGCAGCTCACGGGTGGTTCCACAGGAGACAGAGGTGGGTGGACACAGCGGGCTGCGGGTGTTGGGAGGTATGTGGAAAAAAAGGGGACAAAGGGCAACACCCAAACTTAGTTACCAAAACTAAGTTAACAAATAGCTAGTTAACAAAACTATCCTGGAGGAAGGGACAAGGTGACACCATAAACCAGACAGATGAGGAACTAAGAAGGTAAAACCTGACAAACTAAAGAGAATGACTTGAACTACAGGTGAATTATCCTAATTAGGATATTAAAAAACCCACCCCCTCCCAAGCCCCTTTCCCCAGGGTAGGAGAGAGGGAGGATCCTGTGATAGCTAGTTAACAAAACTATCCTGGAGGAAGGGACAAGGTGACACCATAAACCAGACAGATGAGGAACTAAGAAGGTAAAACCTGACAAACTAAAGAGAATGACTTGAACTACAGGTGAATTATCCTAATTAGGATATTAAAAAACCCACCCCCTCCCAAGCCCCTTTCCCCAGGGTAGGAGAGAGGGAGGATCCTGTGATTTTAAGCAAAAACGAGATGTAGAAGGAACAAATGACAACAAGGGTGACTTAAAAACAGTAAAATAGACTGAAAACTGTGTGAAAAATGTTCAGAATGCGGCTGTGCACTAACCCGGGGTGCCAGGCTTGTGGCATTACCACCCAGCACCCATCTCTGCCCGGACATCGAGTTAATTAACATCGAATTAACATCGGATTAACCATTTCGCCCCTGTGCGGTTTCGGCTCGCTGGGGACAACCGGTGCCCGCGGTGCCGCGCCTCACCCCAGCCTCCTGTCACCGGGCGCCGCCTTCTCGTACCACAGCCCCGGCCCGGCCGCGCTCCGCTCCACCGCTGGCGGGGGCGGCGGGGG